AGCAGCAGCAGCAGCAGCTAGTGCCGCAGCAGCAGCAGAACAGCAGCACAAAGCGGCAGCAGCAGAAAAGCAGCAGCAGAAAAGCAGCAACTACCAATCCATTCGAAAAGCCACACCATTTGCTGAGCAGCAAAGCGCAGGCAGCAGCAGTAGCTGCTGCTGCTGCTGCACCAGCACCCATGGACCTAAACAGCAGCAGCAGAGCACTCGAGACAGCAGGATCAGCAGCAGCAGCAGCAGCAGCAGCAATTTGTTTTCCCCACATCTGCGAGTGGTGCTTCATGAAGTCTTTCTTCATACAGACAAAAGGCGGCCCTTGCGAATTGCTCCAAGCTGCTGCTGCTGCTGCTGCTGTGACTTCGCTGCAGCAGCTGTTGCGTCTGCTGCTGCTGCTTCGAGCGCTGCAGCAGCAGCAAAATGGCAGCAGCCTGAATGCCACCATAAAGCTGCGACGCCGACAGATCTGCAAGCCGGAGGTGCAGCAGCGTTGCATGCGTTTCTGCTGCTGCCAGCAGGAACTCCGGAGGGCTCCACCCGCTGCTGCTGCTGCTGCTGCTGCTGCTGCTTGCTGCTGCTGCGGAGGCCCCAGGCTGCTGCTCCGAGGGCCCACGGCAGCCCCACGAGGGCCCCCAAGCAAGGAATTCGGGAGTTGTGCATTCAATAAGTTGGTTTGCTGCTGCTGCTGCTAGCTGCTGCAGCTGCTGCAGCTGCTGCGCTGCGTCGCTTCCCACGCTCTGGGGCCTCCAAGTGCGTCGAAGGCCCCACGCGGGCCGAGTCTGTACATCTGCTGCTGCTGCTGCTGTTGCTGCTGCTGCCAGTTTTCGCGCTGCATCAGCTCCTGTTGCTGCTGCTGGCGAGAGGGCCGGCCCCGGAAGCTCCGTTGCTGCTGCTGCTGCTGCTCTTGTTGCTGCAGCTTCTGCCGCTGTTGCATATTGGGTGTAGCTGCGTGCTGCAGCAAAGGGCAGCAGTGCTCGTCGCTTGATAGGAGGGAGGGTGCAGAAGCTACCAGCTGCTGCTGCTGCTGCTGCTGCTGCACCTTTGCCTCCCAGAAGCTCCTTGGGGCCCCTTCTGGGGGGCCCCAGTGCCCTTAGAGTTTTGGCGCTGTGGAGCAGCAGCAGACAGGCGGAGTGCTGCGCC